CCAATATGACCCTCCCATGTCCCAAGGGATGCACTACCCTTCTGAGAGCAGATACTTTTTTATCAACCAGGAAGCACTGTGAGTTTCCATGTTCAGGGCTTTTATCAGGCAGCCCTGCATGATAGACTAAATCATGCCTCCTGATACTAACTGATATTGGCCTCCCAGGTGAGTCTTTTCTGGTCTGGTCAACTCCTACTTACCAGCACATATTCTCAAGTGTGGCCTGGAAGTCCCAGACCAAGTACCCCAATCACACCAAGGGTTATTTCTCCACAGCAAAGGACAAAAACCACCTTATTTAATGTAAAACTAGGAACTTTACCCCACATTGCACCCTCTGTACTTTTGGTATGTGTTTTTTTGTACACCTAACATTTAGAGGGTTTCTCTCTCCTCCCCATACATTTGACCATCAACACCAGTATTCAACAGTGTTATACCATAACCTGAAAAATAAGAGTCAAAAGATACTGGCATATCACTAGAGTCTTCAATCAGTCATTAACAATTAACATCAGTCTATTGTCATATAAGACCCACTGCCACTGAGTCAATTCCAACTCATGGTGACGCTATAGGAATTTCTCCATAGAGTTTCCAACCCTGGAAATATTTACAAAAGCACACTGCCTCATCTTTCTCCTGTGGAGTGGCTAGTGGGTTCTAACCAGCAGCCCAATGCTTTTTAACCACAGTGCCACCAGAGCTCCCTATCACCATATAAACCCACTGCCATTGAGCTGATTCCAACTCATAGCTATCTCTATAGGGTTTCCAAGGCTGTAAATGTTTATGGAAGTAGATTGCCTCATCTTCTTCCACAGAGTGGCTGGTGAGTTTGAACTGGTGACCTTCTGGTTAGCAGCCAAATGCCCTACCCACAGTGCCACCAGAGCCCCTTTTATCATCATACAGTCTAGTAAAAACTTTTCCCAGACTAAGGTCACTCTGGTTTTCTGAAGGCTTCCATCTGATCTTGTCAGATTCAACAAGCATGTGTTGTCTTGGCTTCACCTTTCCAAGCATCTGGTGTAACTTAGCTAAGAGACAATATTATTATTTTGCTTTGAGCCTCTCTTGAGGTATTAACATAATGAGTATTGTATAACTCATCTATTTATTTCATTACAAAATTTTTCCACCTTTGGAAAGGACATTAACAAAAAGGCAAAAAAAAAAAAATCAAAATCCTTTTCCATCAAGTAGATTCCTACTCATTAGGTTTGGCTATTATAGTGGTCTAGATTTTCAGCAACAATATTAGCTCAGCAAGTGCCTCTCCCTTAGCCCACACGTTCACTGTTACATCTTTTTGAGAATTATCCCAGCTTCCATTACTCATATTTGCAATCTTGGTCCTAGGATCACTACACCATGTATGAAAAACAAAGTGAAAGAAGTAATATGGTAATATGGGGAAGAATTTTGCAGTCATAAAAGCATCCTCTCCCATACCCTCTTCCACAGATCCACAAGCAAAACAGGATTCTCTCCAGTGAGGATCCTCCCTTGTGTCCCTTCATGTTACTCATACCAAATTAATTTCAATAGTATACAAAGTTTTGCTACTATTTAGCTCTGTTATCCCCGACTTTGTGCTGTCATTATTACAAATTGTATGTTTATACATTATAATTATTGTTTTTTGCAGGTGTTTTTGAAATAAGATTTTGAAATAAAATTACAAACAGAAATACAATTATACATTCTTTATATATAACTATGCAATTTACCTTTACACGTGCTCTTTATTTCTTCATGTTGGTTATTAGAATTACTATCTAGTGTCCTTTCCTTTCATCCTTAAAAACTTCCTTTAGTATTTACTATAGGTCAGGTAGGAGCTCTGGTAGCATAGTGCCTAAGGCACTTGACTGCTAACCAGAAGGCTGGCGGTTCAAACCCACCAGCCACTCCTCGGAAGGAAGGTTGGGCAATCCTACTTCCGTAGTGATACTGCCTCGGAAACCCAAGGAGGGGTCACTATGAGTCGGGGTCGACTCGACGGCACATAACAACAACAACAACATAGGTCAGGTGTGTTAATGACAAACACTCTCAGTTGTTGTGTTGTTTATCTTGTATTGTTTTCATTACTCTTTTATTTTTGAAGGAAGATTCTTGGTTTTTATCTTTCATAACTTTATCTCATTCCATTGCCTTCTGGCTTCCATGGTTTCTGATGAGAAATCAGCTGTTAATCTTATTGGGGCTCCCCTGTACATAATGCAGAACTCTGGTGGCATAGTGTCTAAGGCATTTGACTGATAAACAGAAGGCTAGGGGTTCAAACTCACCAGCCACTCCTCGGAAGGAAGGTTGGGCAATCTACTTCTGTAGAAATACTGCCTCAGAAACCCACGGAGGGGTTGCTATGAGTCGAATCCAACTACTCAACAGCAGTGGGTTTCTTTTCTTTTCTTTTCTTTTTTTTTTTTTTTTAGTTTTGTACATAATGAGTTGTTTCCCTCTTGATGCTTTCAAGATTTGGTCTTTATATTTGGCTTTTAACTACAATGTGTGCATATTTTAGCTGATCCTATTTGGAATTAATTGAGCTTTATTCACATATAGATTAATGTTTTCCATCAAATTGTGACTTCTTTTAACACTCAAACTCATTGCTGTCAAGTCGAACCCGAATCATAGTGACCCCTCCTTGAGTTTCCAAGGCAGTATCACTATGGAAGTAGATTGCCCAACCTTCCTTCCGAGGAGTGGCTGGTGGGTTTGAACCACTTCAAATATTCTTTCTGGCCATTTCTTTCTCTCTTCTCCTTGTAAGACTGAAATTTTGCTTATGTTGGTACACTTGATAGTGTCCCACAGGTCTCTGAGGCTCTGTTCATTTTTCTTTAATTTTCTTTCTGTTCCTCAGACTGGATAATTTAAAAAGACTTATCTTCAAGTTCACTTAGTCTTTATTATGCCTTTTCAAACTGGCTTTCAAGACTTCTAGTGAATTTTTCCTCTCAGTTATTGTCCTTTTCAACTCATGGATTTCTACTTGATTTATTTTTATCATTTCTGTCTCTTTATTGATATTCTCTATTTAGTGAAACATTGTTCTCATTCTTCCTTTTAGCTCTTTAGATGTGATTCCCTTTACTTATTTGAATTGGTTTAAAATAGCTCATTTAACATCTTTCTCTAAAAAAAGAAAAAACAAATGCACTGCCTTCAAGTTGCTTCTGACTCATAGCGACCCCTGCTTGGGTTTCTGAGTACGATATCTAGGCAAGCCAGATATATATTCTAGTTGATTTACATGTCTCATTTTTTTTTTTTTTTTTTGCTGTTGTTGTGGAAAACTCGAATTTTAAAATAATGTAATGTGGAGACTCTGTAATTATAATCACTTGGATTTTCTGTTGGTGCTGTTTGTTGCAGCAATTGTTTATTTAGTGATTTTTCTTAACTAATAAGGTATATTCAGAGTTCTTTGTCATGCATAACCACTCTACTGAATGAACTTAACAGTCAGAAAATGACTAGAAAGATATTTCCTTAATACCTGGAACCAATACATTTCCCAGTCTTTACCCAGATGTTCTATGTGCCTGTTGATGTCCATCTTCAACATTTGGCTAGGCAATTTACAATTCTTCAACAACTTTTACTTCTACTTACACCAAGCCTCAAGAATATCAAGAAGTGAGAGCTTAAGACTTTCTCAGATTTTCTCTGAGCATGTATATACATGTGTCTACTCTTTTACACTCCAAGGAATGTCTTGGAGTTTTTCAAAATTTCATGAAAATCTCATTCTTTAGTTTTTCCTTTTAAGTTTTCTGATTAGCCTATTGTTTTCCCCAGTGTTATTCATTGTCCAGTGCAACCATGCAACAAATTTCCCACACCCAGAAGAAGCTTTTTAGCAAGCGGTGACCCATAAAGACAAGTCTTTTAAGTCAGATCTTTTAGGTGACCATCAGACAGGTCATGTAATGACAATTTGTGGGAAAATTAGATCTGTTCTGTGCTCTCTGGTATCTGGAACTGGAATTCTATTTACAAAACTGAGGAGGGGAAATAGAAATACAATGTAGCTTGCTGTTCTTGCTGAGAGTGAGATTATTTTTTCCACAAATGCTCCTCAAGTTGCTGAGAGCATTTGACTAACATTTAGAGTTGTGAGGGAAAAAAAAAAGGTTCTAACAAATTTGGCCACTCTTTTTACTGATTTTATGAAAGTGTGAATTTTAGGAGATTATTACACCATCACTTTTGCTGACATCATGCATTGTGTCCTTATCTTCAGATCCTTCCCATGTCCCTCTCAGGAAAATATATCACTACATTTTATTTAGAAGTTAGTAAAAATAAAAAATATATTTTCCCATCTAGGTTTACAGACCTTCTGAACCCTAGCTACAGATTCCTAGAAGGTGTCTATTGACCTAAGAATTCTGCCTTTCTTAATTTCTCAGTGTTGCTGTAACAGAAATACTACAAGTAGGTGGTTTAAAAGAACACAAATTTATTTTCTAAGTTTAGGATGTTAGAAGTCTAAATTCAGGACACCAGCTCAAGGGAAGCCTTTATTTCTGTTGTCTCTTGTGGAAAATCTCTTCCAGTTTCCATAGATCCAACATTCTTTGATTTCTTGGCAATCTCCATATCATATGTATCTTCTCCTCCCTTCTCTGTGCTTAATGTGATCTTTTAATATCTCAAAAATGAATAGGTGTAAGAGCTACCTACACGTATATGGTCTCATTAGCATAACACAGAAACATCTATTTCAAATAGGTTTATATCCACAAGCATAGGGGTTAGAATTCCAACACATAATTTGTGGGACACAATTCAAGCCACACTGATGTGTGAAGGATTAACAAGCAATGCAGGACTTATCAGCATCATGAGGGAAGTGCTGAGACATATCTGGGTATGGACATCCCTGAGTTTTATGTACTTTCCACTTTTCCTAGGACATCCAAATCTTTGCTCAAGGGTACTAAGGCCTTTGACGGAGCTCTTTTTATTCCTTGCAGAATCCTCAAAGCTTCTTAAGACCAATACTGAGGCACCTACAACTATGCCATCTCCCTTGGAATGTGAGTTATACTTGGAGTCAAGGGACAGGAGAGGCCTTGAATGATGTCATGGAAGCCATGGGAAGAAACTCAATTCCAATGGATAGGAAACTAAGAGGTCACTGGGATTGTCACAGAGAAAATGACAGTAAAGGAATTCAGAGAAAGAAAGATAGCAAAGAGTTAATGGTAGTGAATAAGTGCAATAATTAATATACATTATTTTTGTGAATACTTCTGAAGCAAAAGGAAAGAGAGAGTTAGAATACGTCCATGGGAAAAGTGGAAAATGGAAATAGATTTCCATCCTTCTCCTACTCTGATATACTTTGTGATTTTGGGTATGGTACTTCCATCTATAGGCCTCTACCCACCTTCCACCCCTAAGAGAAATAAACTAGTTTACTTCACCCCATAATATACTTCACCACAAAGCCCAGTACAGATGCCAGAGAAGGTCTCCAACTTTGCACCCACCCCTCAACCCACAACTCTTAACTGGAAGAGAAGACTCTGACTCTAATTCTCTGTTGTCACAGCAATATCCACAGCAAACTCATTCTTGGGCTGGACCACTGAAGGTGATGGTTACCTTGAGGAGACCAGTGCTGGGCCAGGTAAGGGTAATGTCAAGACTTCTCTCTTTCCTGAACCTTCCCACTATACACACTGTTCACTGGCATTCAACTCTCAAAACCATTAAATGCTGTGTGACCAGCAATGATCAAGAACCCTGAAGTTGAATGGTCTGGGTGATGGTTGAGAGGGAGAGATACAGATCCAGGGATGACTAAAATAAGTGTGGTACAAATGGGAAGGGTAGGTGCTCTTAGATTATATCCAATAATTTTTCTCCTGTTTGTACAAATAGAGTTCAAGCAGGGACTTAAGTGCTGGCCTGCAGATCTGAAGGTAAGGTTGAGGGGCACAAGACAAGAATGGAATCAAGTTATATTTTGTTTAAAGAGCATACTTGCTGCCATGACAGTGAGTCCCAGATTGTTCAACCCCTACTAGAGAGGGTTGAAATCACTGGCTGAATTGTGATTAAGTACCGTGTTGCCATAGTAATATGCTTTCCAAACATGCTGAGTAAGAATAAGGATACAATCATGGCCTTGACCGTATCTCCAAGAGAAGCTAGAATTGGGTCAGGTAAGGGTAATATCAAAGTATCACTATTTGGGCTCTTAACCAGAGCTCTGCAAGCCTGTAGCTGATTTATCAGTCCTCCAAAGTCTCCAGGATTCCTAAATTAGTCTCAGAGATTCAAAAGCTAAAAAGAAATTTTTTTCTGTATTTCACCTGGAGCTGATTGTCAACTGGCATCCACTGATAAGACATTAATACAATGCTATTTTCATACCAGTTGATAATTAGCTGTTTCTTTTAACCCCCTTAGCTGCTCATTATCACTTGGACTGGTCATCAGGACTCTTCAGAGCATTCCATGTCCCTTAATAAAAGTTTTATTGACTGTCATTTCAAACTTTTTTTTTAAATTGTGATTTGGGTGAAAGTTTACAGAGCAAATTCATTTTCCATACAGCAGTTCATACACATTTTGTTTCATGGCATTGATTGCAATCCCCATAATGTAATAACTCTCTTCCCACTTACTCCTTGTGGTTACCTCTTCCCTGTGTGTTTCTTTCCTATGCATTCCTGCCACCTGATCTATCTCCTTGTGTCAAACTTTTAGTTAAGGTCTAAGTAGGCATACATTTTAATTGGTTGGTGCTAAGTAGTTTTGCAATGAAAGAACTGGCGAAGAACAAGGCTCCGGGAATTGATGGCATACCGATTGAGATATTTCAACAAACAGATG